AGCTGTTTCCACTGAAGAAAGAGATCTTGGAGTCATTGTGGATAGTTCTCTGAAACCGTCCACTTAATGTGCAGCAGCAGTCAAAAAAAGTGAACAGAATATTGGGAATCATTAAAAAAAGGGATAGATAATGAGAGAAAATATCATATTGCCTCTATATAAATTCATGGTACGCCCACATCTTGAATGTTGTGTGCAGATGTGGTCGCCCCATCTCAAAAAGATATATTGGAATTGGAAAAGGTTTGGAAAAGGGCAGCAAAAATGGTTAGGGGTATGGAACAACTTCCATATGAGGAGAGATTAGTAAAACTGGGACTTTTCAGCTTGGGAAAAAGAAAAAGATGACTAAGGTGGGATATGATAGAGGTCTATAAAATCATGACTCGTGTGGACAAAGTAAATAAGGAAGTGTTATTTACTCCTTATATCACAAGAACTAGGGTAATTAATGAAATTAATAGGCAGCAGGTTTAAAACAAACAAAAGGAAGTCTTTCTTCACACAACGCACAGTCAACCTGTGGAACTCTTTGCCAGAGGATGTTGTGAAGGCCAAGACTATAACAGGGTTCAAAAAGAAACTAGATAAATTCATGGAGGATAGGTCCATCAATGGTTATTAGCCAGGATAGGCAGGGATGGTGTCCCTAGCTGCTGTTTGCCAGAAGCTGGGTATGAGCGACAGGGGATGGATCACTTGATGATTACCTATTCTATTCATTTCCTTCGGGGCACCTGGCAATTGGCCATTGTCGGAAGACAGGATACTGGGCTAGATGGACCTTTAGTCTGACCCAGTATGGCCGTTCTTATGGGTAAGGTGATATATTTTTAGGATATATTAAAAATCATTTTCTTTTCAGTTCCTGTAGGTAATTGCTTGGTACTTTTCTGTTCCTGACTTATTTTAAATAGCATAAGAGTGGCTGGATGATAATGTTGAGAAAATAGGCCTGTTTCAACCACTGAAAAGCAGCTGCGATTGTCATTTTTCATAAGAAAGTGAGTGTCTTTTTAATCTGTGACATTCAACATCAGCACTACTACAGTTTAAACATATTTAAGTCCCCCAATTCCTAAAAAGAATGGAAAATTACTCCATTCCCCCCAAAAACCTCACCACGCATGTTATTCTTAAAAAGTTTTCATTTTTATTTTTCACCATAGTACAAAAATACAGTACAATGTGATGGCAAGACATTCTCCAAAAACATTCCGCAAAAAAGGGGGAGAACCCCATAATGCTTCAATATATTCTATCTTTCCTTAATAAAACAATTGAAAGATGAACATACAATAGACAGGTGGAGTTTCAACCTGAATGCAAATAAAGTCAAGTCACAAAGAGTTCCTACAAGAAAAAGAATGTACAGAGTGACTAATCCACATGCTACTCTTAGATATTAATGAAAATAACTCTATTTATGTTAGTGTTCATGGCAGAATTATTGGTTTGATTTTTTTTTTGGCTTTTCAGAATACAGCAGGCTTGAGTCACATCTCCTACTCATGAGTATCCCCACTGAAATCAAAGGGATGACTTAATGTCAGTCAAACGGGGGGGAGCAAGCACTGATTGGAGACCAAGTGTTGGCTATTTGAAAATGTAAAAATCATTCCACTTAAGAAGAGGGTAAGATCTAGGCCTCTGGATACTAGTGGTCATTGTTTACATGGACAGATCTGATGTATCCATTCAAGATGAGGTTGTGTATGCATGTACATCAGCTGTAAATAAGCACTGAAGTGTAAACTAGACGGGGAGGAGAAGATAACACTGTATTTGATGGAGGTGTGTGAAAAATCAGATAGTGTTTAACCTTCCAAGTTACTGAGAGGAGAATTACATCCTTTCAGTGCAGCTACATTTCTTGGTATGTTTAATGGTTTAAAAGAAAAAAAATCATTTATCCTTTCAGAGCTTCAGGGTGATGGAAAAGGAATGTTCAATATATATATATATATTATAATTCATCTCCGAGATGTTTTTGTTTGAAAGCATCTCCTGTCAGCTTCTCTTGGGCTTCCTTCATTCCTTGGACAACTGTCAAATTAAATACATAGAATATCAGCTGGATCATTACTACACATGATATGGATCAAGTAAGGAAGTGTATAATGAAAAGTATTTTTATCAACGAATGGTGCAATTTTAAAGAATAAACCCCTTGGAAGTAGACTGCAAAAGAAAAAAGTTAAGGTTATGCTCTTTTTGGCCTCTATATGATGTATAAAGAAGCGTTAAATATCTTCCACCCTCCCCTTTCCCATACCATTTGTAAATTCATGCCTCATCTACCCTATTTTTGTTGGATGACTCTATGGACAAAGGAAGAACTAGCAGGATTATGACATCAGATAATAGGCACATGAAACCTGATAATTTGAGAGGGAAGTGATTTTTAACCACTTTTTTGCTCACAACTTAAATGGCTGAGATACACTTGGGTATCTGTATTTAAAGTTCAACACTCCCCAAACAATCCGCACCTCTAAAACTCTCTCCAGTATTACCAAGGAAGACAAGTTTGACATTCCTGATATGTCTAAGGTAAAAGATAAATTTTAAAAAAATAATCTTCTATGAAGGCTGAGAGTGGTTTTTTTGTTTTGTTTTGTTCTTTTAAAAAGTCACAGCCGCAAAATTCAACAGAAACCTATTTTTCTCTTTTATGGGTCACCTTTAATATAACAGAGCAAAGCTTTTCGTGCATCTATCCCCATCAGCATTCCTAAGTGATTCTGCTGTGGTTTGTTATGTCAATGGCAGTTTCATGCCTGCTTCTCTCAGGCGCCATTGAAAAATCTCTACTAGAACAATTAAGAGGAATTGAGGTTTTTTAATTGAGAATATCATTAGAAAGATTCCCTCTGCTTTACCATGCACAAAACACACTGTCACAGCTCTCGGCCTTGTTGGCTCTCTCAACAGCAAGGTTGAGCAGTGAACCTGAACTATTCTCTCATAGGCAGGTGGCCTGTCCAGGGTTGAGGTAAACAAGTGGGTTGGCATGGGGAAGCCTGCACTGCTCTACATGCTGCTGTGATTCAGTCTCCAAGACAACCAACACACCACTGTTTGCAATGTACCAGTAAATTGCATGATGAGCTAAGTGCATTCTATGAGTGGGGCTTAGTTTTCCTCAAGATCAGGTATGATGCTAATGTAATGGACTATAGGTCTGGCAAACCCTTACAGAGGTCTTTTTTTTGTTCCCCTTGTTATTCCTCTTTATCACCCTCCAAAGAACAGAATGGCTACTCTTCCCAACTGATTATTTTAGGGCCGTGTCTACAATCTCCCACCAGATCATCTCCGCTGGTGTTAGCAGTCTTGGGAGTCATAATGTAGACTGGCACAGCTGTAATCAATGTCAATCAGACCCGCTCTTAACATGGGTAGATGACATGGTTCTTAAAATGCTAGCAGCAACTGGTCTATACTAGGGCTCTGAAGGTTGCTGATACTGATAGAGTTGGGCTGGCAAGATATTTTTGAAAAAAGTTTCCATAGCGTAGACAAGGCCCAAGAGATTCACAATTAGACATTTCTTGATTTGAGAACAGAGCGTTGTTACTTAACCAGCTTATATCACACATAACCGGGCCACATTGCTCACAGCTAGCACCTGGTCCTAATGGCTATTTAGATACTTTACTGAAGAGATAGAAAACATAAGGTCAATTAATTCTTCTTAAATGAGGTTGTCCTCTTGCAGTTGTGTGAAAAGGGAAAGTACACAAACAGAGAAGTGTCCACATTTACATCAGAAGTCACAGACGGATATGTAACATCAAAGGCTGAATTTTAAATAACCAGAAATGCTTTTATTTCACATCATGATTCTGTAATAGAAGTCTATCCATCCACCCACGAGGTGCAAAAAAGCCATTCATTTGCCTTATTTGTAACCGCTCCCAGCTGTACTGTGAACTATAGGTTACCTCCACTCAAAAACCAAGCTTGCATTAGCTGCCATTCCTATGACATACCTGCAATGCACTCCCACTCAATTCAAATGTAGAGCTCATTCTCACATACCTTGATCAGCATTGATGTAGAAATATTTGTAGCTTGGGTTTCCTTTCTCATTTATAATCTCTGGATGGACCTTCCCACTGGGATCTGTGAAACGAGAAAGTGATTAAAATGGGTAAGTGGTGAGGATGACAAAGTAGTCCTATAAGAGGCTGTAACAACAGTGAGTATGCCTTACCCATGAAAAGGATTCTGGGAATATAACCACCATCAGGGCTAAAAGCTTCATCCTTTGGCTCTTCTTCATCCTAGGGGTGCAAGACAGATGTGAGACAACATTCTGCTTTCTAAGCAAGGGATCTAACAAAATGTGACATTTACTTTAAAGCGATTTTCTTCCAATGGCTGTTATAAAACGGTAGTTTTAATGAACATGAACAGCTTGAAAAGAAGATAAATGACTGCAAAAGCCTCTACTTTTGCCAACAAAGGAAAAAGGTCACCCAACAAGTAACAGTTGTAAAGATAATTGTAAAATTAAATCAAATATTTTCACCAATTTACATTAAATGGACTCACTATTTTGGTACTGGAATGTTTTATAGGTATTAAATGTGTATAGAAAAGCAATTGCCTCTCTTATTATTCGGGAATAGTACAATGTACAGATTGTTAAAAATAAAATGGAAGAGAATCAGCTGCATGAATAAAACCACATAACAATACAGTAAAGGTTTTATTTTTTAAACAGTCAGTTGTATCAGTCAATACTGTGTATCTATTCAATAATGCTAAGAATTTAGTTAGGAAGGGATGAAGTCAGGAGAAATAAATAATTATAAGAAATAAGGGACAAATGCTCAGTTACAAAATAGTAGCATGGACATAAACTGTAGGGAAGCCTACCTCAAGGTTTACCATAATAAAATTATGGGCAAGTTCGGAGATCTCCTTGGATTCAGCAAATTTTGGCTTTAAAGCTAAGAAGAAAAAGAAGGGGGGGGGGGCGCGGAGAAGAGAAAACTGTAAGAAAAAAACCAACATCATTCAGACCTACAGCAAAATCACCACTCCATCCCTTCTTCTAGAGGTTAGGTGCTTGTCATTGAATAGTAAGTAACCAAATCTTTGTCTCAAAATACTGAACCCATAACCCAGAGTGAAAGCTAACCAGCCCAATCCTCAGTGATCAGTCAGATGATGAATACTGGCCAAAAATAGTCACATGGGTAATTTTTGAACCAATCGTACAGAAGCAAAATGTCACCTAAACCACCCAATCCACCTCACCTAAATTTGTAGACTTATGTCATTATGGTTAGCCAGTTCCATTATATCACTGAACAAGACAACAAATCTAACCATCCAAAGACCAGTTTGGAATATGCAGATTTACTGTTCTTTCAAACTTTTATAATTTTCCATACCAAGGATTAGGCCTTCAATAGAAATGGAAGGTACCTCCCATTTGGTGTGTGTCTTTTTAAAAAAAAACAACAATAAAATTATAGCATGGATTTGGACAGCTATTAATTTATTGCACTGAAGATTTCTATTTGTGCACTACTATATTATTCTGAGCAAAAAGCAAATATAACACATGCTATGCTTCAAATGTAAATAATAATTGACTTGTATAAAGAAACCTTCCATTAAGGATTTTAAAGTGCTCTAGAATTAAATTCACATACCTTTGCAAGCTCCACACCAGGACTTGTGGATGATAATCATTAGAGGCAAACCACTTTAGAAAAAAACAAAGCACAACTGACATCAATTCTAAGGCACTTAACAAGACTGCATTCCTCAATGAAACTCTGAAAATGCACTTTCCAGTAATTAAAACTTTTAAAGAAGGCCCTAGCTACTGGAAAAAGTCATAGATGTAAACTGATTCTATTGTGCTTCCAAAGCTTTGTTTCCTTGCTAAAGTCTTCCCAAGTTATAAACATCAGCACCAAATAATTTAATAAAATGCCATTGTGACACTCTGTATGTCAAAATAGGAATCTGGAACCCCCATATTCACCACTGTGATATCATTATATTTTGTACAAAGTATGCCTTGTGAGGTATCATTTGAGAAGTTATGATTGGTTGAACACTACTATTCTGTTGAATTATGTGTGTTACCATTGTATCTGAAGTTATGAAGTTTTGCTGTGTGTGTGTGTTACTGAAATATGTTGAGTCTGGGAAACGCTCACAACTAGACGTTCATTGGCAACAGAGGAGCAACTAACACTGACAAGATAGGTTTCAGATTGGTAGCCTGTATCAGCAAAAACAAAGATGAGTCCTTGTGGCACCTTTGAGACTAACAAATTTATTTGGGCACAAGCTTTCGTGGGCTAGAACCCACTTCATCAGATGCAAGACAAAACAGATTTACATCAAGATCAGTCACACGTGTTGATGGCCCATTAAGAAGAATCCATTTTCCCAGTGACTCCTCAGAGAGGGCATGTACACAATGGGGGCTAACCCCCACTTCCCTGCAAGGATCTTTCTAGCACCTGGACAGAAAGTATAAATGAGGGTCAATGATATCACCACTGGACTTTTCTCCTCCCCCTATTCAACATCTGGAAGATTGTTTGGAAGACAAAGGCTTTGAACTGGGGAGACTGGCAGGCTGAGAAGAGAATTCAGCCTGTGATTAAGAACTTAAACTGCCTGGAACATCCAGTGGGATCAGAAAAACTGCTTGATTCAAAGCTTGTTTAGTCTGATAAAGTGTAGAACAATTTAGACTGTAGTTTTCCTTTAATTTCTTATGTAACCAGCGTTGACCTCTATGCCTAACACGTATAATCTATTTTTTGTAGTTAATAAACTTATTTTCATGTTTTATCCTTACCAGTGAATTTGTTTGAAGTACTTGGGGAATCTGCTCAGATTACAAAGGCTGGGGCACATCCACTCTCCGTCGACGAAGTAGTGAACTAATTAATGAGTTTGCATTGTTCAAGAGAAGGTCTCGAGCAGTGTAAGGTGGTATATTTCTGGGGTGCAAGACTTGGGAGCTGAGGGATTTACTGGTGTCTCCGTTTCTGTATAATTCATGAGCAGCTTCGAGAGCATTCATGCAATTTAGCTGGGTATGTCTCTGCATGCTGTTGGCTGACTGATCACAGCACCTGAAGGGGTTTGCTACTTGTCACTACAACGGCACTGTAAGAGTCAGCTGAGGGAGGAGAGTTAAGGGGGCATAGTGGTCCGACAGTTCCAGGTTGTAGCCCCAGGGTATGTCGCAGCCATCCAACAACTTTTCCAACATTCAAATTCTCTAACCTCCTTTGCATTAAATTCATTCTGTGTTAGGCAATTAGACAGAAGGACCTTGAGTGCACTAAGAATTTTTCCTAACGTTTCCCAGTTTCTGGGAGTCTCCTGGTAGGACCCGCAGGAGCACTACGGTAAACTGCCCTGAGCAAAACAGACGTAACACATGCTACATTTTAAATGTAATGTTCACATTTATTGCTAGGTAATAATTGGCATGCATATAGCACATTTAACCATCATGTCATATAGCTCTGCTCTGAGCAAGGCTAGCAGACACAGTGCTTACTATGCCAACAGCCACCTGGAGCCCTGTCTTCGCTAACACTCTCACTGTTTCTGCTACAGTGGTAGGAAATCCGGGAATTCAGTAAACACAGATGGCAAACTCTGTTTACTGCCAACAGTTAAAAAAACAACAACTATGAAGCAGTTAAAAAATAATGAATAAGCTGATTGATGGCTGAAGACCAGAACAATCTCATTCTCTACGTGTAATGATTGGTATAGTTACATGGCAGCTATTCACTCTGACAGACACTAAAAATCTATGCTGTACTGTAACAGGAATGAGGTCGTGGTAACAGAATGTTAAGAACATAAGAACAGCCATACTGGGTCAGACCCATGGTCCATCTAGCCCAGTATCTTGTCTTCCAACAACAGCTGGAGCCAGATGCTTCAGAGGTAATGAACAGAACAGAGCAATTATCAAGTTGTCCAGTCTCAGCTTCTGGCAAAAGGTTATCAAAAGATAATTTCATGATTTCCACTCCCATTCCCTTTCTCTAGACCAGGGGTTGACAACTTTTCAGAAGTGGTGTGCCGAGTCTTCATTGATTCACTCTTATTTAAGGTTTTGCGTGCCAGTAATATATTTTAATATTTTTAGAAGGTCTCTTTCTATAAGTCTATAATATATAACTAAACTATTGTTGTATGTAAAGTAAATAAGGTTTTAAAAATGTTTAAGAAGCTTCATTTAAAATTAAATTAAAATGCAGAGCCCCCCAGACCGGTGGCCAGGACCCGGGCAGTGTGAGTGCCACTGAAAATCAGCTTGCATGCCGCCTTCGGCACACGTGCCATAAGTTGCCTACCCCGGCTCTAGACTTTCTGATGAAGCAGCAATCCTCCATCAGAAGCATTCCATAAACCACTGTGTTGATTTTCATGTTCCTTTCTATGAAGCACGTTGGGAATCACCAAAAGTATCTTGGGCCCCACTTGAGCAGGAAGTGTGGAGAGCTCCAGGATGTGGGCTCATATGAAGGACATTGAGGGAACCCCTATTTTAAACAATCAACTACTAGAAATTTTTGTTGAAACTTGCTGCAAAGGAAGAGTCCAAATACTGATTTGCCAGTTACTTCATGTATACTTATCACTAAACAAGACTCCCAAGAAAAAGTAGAAATGTTACCCTACTATATTTGTAGATTTTAAAGCCAGAAGGGACCATTATGATCTAGTCTATTTCATCCTACATAACACAGGTCACAAAGCCACACCCACTAATTTCTGCATCAAGCCCATAACTTCAGTTTGAGCTATAGTATATCTTTTAGAAAGACATCTCATAGTCATTTAAAGACTTCAAGTAATTGAGAACTCATCGTATTCCCATA